AAGAGGCTGCATAAAAATACTGAAAGTCATGGCGGTGGTGGCCTCAGTGCATCAGTACAGCTAGGACTTGCTCTGGTATCTATGATCTAGTTTTCAAAGAAATGAACTGCACAGCTGGACAGCTTAAGAATTTCACTACTAGGAAGGTGAATGCCTTTGAGGAGCATATGGAAGGAGCTACTACTGTGGAGAACACAGCACTCACTCACGTTACACTCGCCGACCTTTGTGTACAGAGGGTGGAGGACATTGCCTGAGTTGTGCAAATCAGGACTGGGACTGGCTTTTCCACTAGGGAAATGGAGATGTAGGCATCAAGATCTGAGGAGGCAGTATGGTTTACATCTGCCTCACAGAGGTCATCCAAACTGTTTAATGTTCTGTGATGGATTCTTAGGGCTTTTTCTAATTTCTTGAGGGGAAAAGGATGCAGGTGGCAGCTCAGTAGTAGAATTGGCTAGTGTTCTTACTTGTGCTGAGCCCTCCCTTGATTGGTGCCAGAGATTTCAATCTCCATGTCTGCTCTTGGATGTGTTGCCCCTTGGTTGTCCACTGTTCTGGCATCAGTTTTTTACATTGCTGACTTCTTACATCTTTTGGCCCAGATACTTTTATTTCCTATCTGTAGTTAGAACACTGACTGAAAATCCAAACTATAGGGCACCCTTCCAGTTGACATTTATTTTTACTGTAGTTAGAACACTGACTGAAAATCCGAACTATAGGACACCCTTCCAGTTGACATTTATTTTTTTAAAGGGACACATCTGTAGAAAAGACTAGTAGAAAGCCATTTTGGTATAGCTATTTACCTTGTGGTCATGACACTCAGTTGTCTGTCCAAAACACCTGATTTGAAACAGAACACAAAGGATTTAAGTTTTAGCCCTTTGTTAAAGGTAAATCCTGTGAGCTTCAGGGTGAGGATAGGAGATGACATCTTCAATTCAACTGCCCAGTACTTGGCTGTAAATTCCATTTGTACTGAAACTGGTATCTTGCCTGTGAAAACAAAATTGTGAAGTGGCCTATGGGGCTTGAACAGCAATCAAAACTCAGTGTTACTTTAAGCCTAGCACACATTCCTATCTATTCCCATATTTAGTTTGAACAAATTTACAATTGCATTCTTTTTTTTATATGAAAAACTGCTTTATCAGAAAAATCTATAATAACTATAACAGTAAGTAAATATTCAATGTCTTGCATATCAGAATATGCTGTGTAAAGTATTTCTTTCTACAAGTACAAAAATATTAAAGGAAAATATTGATCTGTAATTCTTAATTAAGCTTATCTACCTGCATGAATAAGATTTAACATTCTGATTGACAGGCTACATTACTTCATGTGTTTTTAGTTAAACCTTTTTTTAAAATAGCCAAATATTTTGCTTACATTAAAAGAACAAATGCTTATTTCTTGATATTACAAGTTGCTTTTTTTTCAGAAGTATCTTCAGAGCTGGCTTAGCTCTGCAGATATGGAAGTTGGTAACACAGGAGAAGGGTTAAGCTAACTCCTGAGCACTGTGGAGGTGCTGCCCATGCCTCTATAATAGAAGTGAGGTTTGGCAAAGCTGTGCAAGTACATGTACACTGCTTCAAGGAGCATGGAAACTAATACACCAGAGCAACCCTTAGGGCACAGGACTGTGGATTTATGAGGAGGCCATATCACAAGGGGGGAGAAATAGCTACTCAGAGCTTTAATAATAGTATATTGACCTTCATGGGGTTTAAACACGTGAGCTAGACCAGCCTGATGTGATCACATGGAGCCTCTTTTGTTTGCACCCTTCATCAGTGGCTCAAACTAGTATTAAAATTCATTTGCAGCACATCTATCTCATAGCTAATGTCCAACATGCTCTAGTGTAAATCAAAGCTGACTATAGTTCCCCGTTTGCAGAAGGAAAGGCTAGACTAAGTAAAAGTGTGTTTTTCTCATTCACATATGTACGTTTTATTAACCTCCTTCAGATTTCTCGCTCTATTTCCAGTTAATTCTGAGTATCTCTCTCTTAATACATGAGGTTTATTTATTACTGCTTTCTCAATAGCTTCTTTTCTTTTTTTATTGATTTCTCTTTTCCCCCGTCTTTAATTTCTCATTCGGATTCATTCATCCTCCTGTTGGGCCCTTTCTGTCCATTGATCTCTGCTGTTAATCCCATTCTCTCTCCTGATTCTCCCTGTAGCTATCCTCTTTCTCTCCTTCACTCAGTGTTTCTACTCTGTCCCATCTGTACAGATGTCCTTTCCATGCGCTGCCTTCCCTCAATTTTCATTTATCCTGGGATGGCTCTAATTTGGAATTCAGGGCTGATAGTCTCTACTCAAGTTGTTTTTGTGTCTGTGTCACCAGAGAGACATGGTTAATATTTTTTTCCAAAATTAGCACTGTCATTTTCCTGTATTCCATTGCTCATCTGGCTTCCTTTTATATATTTCCTATCATGAGCATCACTTTTATTTGAAAATATGAATGTTGGATTCTAAATTAATCTAAATTCTGCTGCTTTCTGCCTCAAGACTTTTGGAGATATATGGTTTTGATTTCTCTTGCTTCTTTCTCCTTTTCCACTCTGGCTTTGAACTTGAAAAAGAGTTAGAAGTCCTTCTTTTCTCCAAGTCTGCCCCTCTTTCTCAATCCTAATTTTCCTCAGTATTTTCCCCCTTTACTATTCTTGTATGCATTTCTTCCCTCCTTAGTTATTTTTTTTTCCTCCCTCTAATTTGATCACCTTTGCCTCATGTCATCTTTTTCCATACCTCTTTATCTCCCTTCTGGAATCTGAAATTATACCCTGCTCCCCAGAACACTCCTCCTATCCTGCAATGCTTCTCCAAACCTGCCAGTGATATTGCTGCACATTTATGGATGGTTACTGACCTTACAGTCAATAACTGCTCTTTTTTTTGTCTCCAATTTCCCTTCCCTGCAAAATTGATTACTGCAATGCTGATAAAGTATAGGACATAACATTAATGTCAGGATCTAAATGAGTAGCAGCTTCATCTTACTTAGGAAAACATATGTCTGATATATATCAGCTAGATTTTTACAACATTGATGTAAGCAATAAGTTGAGCTGCTGCTTGTCTTTTATATGGCATCTTTACATAGTTTATCAATTCCCTGCAAAATTGATTACTGCAATGCTGATAAAGTATAGGACATAACATTAATGTCAGGATCTAAATGAGTAGCAGCTTCATCTTACTTAGGAAAACATATGTCTGATATATATCAGCTAGATTTTTACAACATTGATGTAAGCAATAAGTTGAGCTGCTGCTTGTCTTTTATATGGCATCTTTACATAGTTTATCAAGTATCTGAGAAGCACACCCTACATAAGCAGTCAGGACTTCCTTAGACCACTTTAATTGGAGTAAACTTTAGTGACATGATATAAAAGAGGCCATAATCTGTTGCCCAAGCAGTTTTTTAGGCATTCCATTTTTGTGATCTAATAATAATTTTAAACATAGTATTTGTTATTTTAAAATAAATTGTGTTATCTCTCTAAGATAAAAATGTGTGAACATAAAATGACTTTCATATATATAATGCTATTATGTAAAAGCTTATGTATCTATGACCCAGTGGGGTCAGAAGAAATCTTGAACACAGAACTGTCAAGATTTTTTTAGCTCATTTGATGTGTTTTGTGTTTCGGATTTAAATTAAAGGCAACTAGCTATGAACTTCTAGTATTACATTGTTGAATTCATTCCTAAAATATGTATCTTCATGGCATTTTCTAATGAAGATTGGGCATTTCTAAGAAATTGGAAAGGGTCCTAAGAAAAGAGATGATTATATGTACATTATATCCCTAACCTTATGACCCTGATGGTCATCTAGGATGATCATGTGATGAGTTCTTCTGAAATCTTTTTTAGTAGGAAGCTTGTTTGTGCTCATGAACTCCCATCTGCTCTTATATACACAGGAAAACTGTGGCATTAGTGAAAAAAAAAAAGGTTTAAAATGCTTTGTCCAAATAACCAACCACAAAATGTAGTAGAATAGCAGATATTCTTTCTGAACTGCTGAAGACTTTTATCTGTTAAGTGCCATGCTCACTTTCCTCTCATTGTCCTCACACTGGAAATGTTGAGGGTTCCTATTGCAAATTTGGATATTCAACATAAGGATTGGAAACAAAATTTCCTGTAAAACTATGTGGGAGTAGGGATTGGTTTTGGAAATGAGCCTTTGTGCACCTTTGCTTTTAAAAATGTATTTAACAGCTTTTTATTTCTTAAAATGTCTGGGCTTTATATTGGCACAATTGTTCAGTATTGATGTATCCTAGAATTGTCAAGTATTAATTTCACAGAATCTTAATTTTGTAGAACAAATTTATTGGTGATTTATAGAATAAACTCCTAAAAAGAGTAGATTTACATCATGCAGATTGTGGCAAATGATCCATGGAAATTTCCTGTGGAAAGTCTGTACCTTTTGCTCATGCTGAGGTTAGCTTCCAATTTTAAGTGCATTAATATTTAACTTGAGAGTTGTTTTTGAAAGAACAGCACCTTATTCTGTTTGTTTTGCTTCATTAGAGGTTTAAAGTTAAATCAACTGTAAATGCTAATAATTCTTTTGGAAAGAAACTAGCGACCTATAAAATACGTTGATGCATGTTAGCTGGCAACAAGTTTTATTATGAAGCACAAGAATACAATAATTGCAAATGTATTTAGCAATTTCAGGGTGGGGGATGTTTTATTTATGGCTCATCTAGTTTAATTTTTGTCTAAAAATGATGAGGACTATTGAAAAAGTCCCATAAATCCCTCCAATTTTTACACCATTCACCTATTTTTAAATCTTCTTAATCTGTGCAGTGCTGTTATTTTGCATAAAGTGAATGCCAGTGTATGTTGTTGTGAAATCATTGTTCTATATTTTACAGTATTTTTTGCATTAGTTTGGTAGCCTTCGATTAACAAACCCTAATATCACCATCTGCTTCATTTCAGTGCTAAGCCCAAAGGTGATAGGCATTGCCATAGCCAGGTATGACTTCTGTGCAAGAGACATGAGAGAACTGTCCTTATTGAAAGGGGATGTTGTAAAAATTTACACCAAGATGAGTGCTAATGGCTGGTGGAGAGGTGAAGTAAATGGAAGGGTAAGACTAATTTTTTTTTTCTTTTTCTGTGTCTCATTTCTTCCTTCACTGACAGTGATTTTGTAAAGCAAATAAGGTGTATTCCTACATGATAAACCTTCTTTGTATTTTTAAATTCACGAGATGCAACATGTTCTTATCTGTGTTTCATAGGTGCCAGGCACTCTTGCCAGGTGCCTTTCCCAGCAGTTGGTTATTTAATGTGGCCTACCAGGTTGAATATTTGGGCAAGATTATATGGTTAGAAAAATAACAAGCATTAATAGTACAGCTAGGGGTGACCTTTCTTGAACTGTTTTGCACACATGTATTTGAGGTCAAAAGCTCAGGCTCCTGGTGCTGTGGAACTCTGTTTTGGGCTTAAACACAGAGTGATTTCCACACCTTTCTGCCAGACTACAATGCAATGGAATCATCAGCCTTTTTTTATTGGAGTCTGCTTCTTTGATTTCTAAAAATGGGGTTCATATGAAGTAGCATATTTAGCTGGGATTTTTACCAAGTCACTTTACACTGCACCCTGAGACTTGCATGAAAATGAAGTTTCAGTTTTGACCAATAAAGGGTTTATTGTTTCAATCTTAGTTTATTGCTTTTTAATGCAGATTAGTCAGAAGTATTTGAGGCTGCTCTTTCCACGTCTAAAGGGCTGAGATGCAGGGTCAGGCAATATGAGGTGACAGAATGGAGATTGGCTGGAAACTGGAAATGATAATTGCAAGTCCAGTTTAAGCGAGTGTCCAGATTTATTGCTCTTTGCAATTTGGAGAAATTTTTTTAATGTACATGAGCTTGGTTATAATCTTAAAGTGAAATGGTCAATTAGATAAGAAGAAATAGGGAAGCAGAAGGAATAGCAATCAACCTGTATACATTTTACATGTGAAGGAAGCTGAACATCTCATTCTACAGGATGCCCTGTTACCCACTAGCATTCTTAGTGATAGCTTTCATAGTCTGGACTTGAGATCATGAGCTCACCTTTGGAGATAATTTGGCAAGGTAATCTAAACCAAAATTTGTGCAGTTCTCCTCCTAGTCATGCTCTAGGTTTGCTTTTGAGTCCTTTCATAAGTGTTAAATTGACTTTAGGTTTAAAGAAATTTGAGTAAGAAAACCCTAAAGCAAATAGACAAAACAATAAGAAATATATGGCATTGCTTCACTGTATGTCTTGGGCAGTCCTTATTTGACACATCATTAATTTCAGAATGGACATGGCATTTTAACTTATGTAGTATATAACACTGGACTGTGCCATCCAGTTCTGTCACATGTAAAACTTGCTTTGGTGGAAATGAAATTTAAGTAATTGTAAGCAATCAAATCACTCGTGGTTTCCTTTGTCAAAGGATTTCCTGGACCTGACCGAAGCCTTTTAAATATTGAACTCCTCATTCAAAAAATAGCAGCATCCTGCCTGTAGTAAAACTACTTCTGCTCTTAGCATTTTTCTGCATGTTTGGACTTAAAATTTGTGCAGAACTGTTTTAGGTTTGTGTGGTTGTTATTTTTTTTGGTTGGTTCGTTTTTTTTTTTGTTGATGTTGAAGAAGTGGGGTAGAGGGTGTTGGTCTCCAAATTGCTATTCTGTCATTTAGGGTTCTTACCCTAACTGTGTCAGGTCAGTCAAGCTTATCTTTGTAATCTTATTGGTATATTTTCTGAACAGACCCATCCTTCTTTTGCCTAGTTCAGCTGTTAAAAAAACTCTGTGCATCTCATGTATTATTTTGTTCTGCTTTTCCCCTTTTTAGGTGGGCTGGTTTCCATCAACTTATGTTGAAGAGGACGAATGAATTAAAAACTTTACTTTTTAGGTGGGCTGGTTTCCATCAACCTATGTTGAAGAGGATGAATGAATTAAAAACTTTCCTCTGCTGACCAGCAGTTTCAGGGATTGTAAAATTTTAGTATGTTCATCATGTTATTAGTCTTGTTAAGTATTTAAGCAGCAGCATTTTTGTCTGTCTGTACCTTCCAGTCTTAATGTTGGGATTTACACAGAAGTTTGGGCTGACAGATTATTACCTTGCCCAGAGCTGTGCAAGAAACAACCTGCCAGTTTTCCATCATGGGAGATAAGTACAAAGTCCAATCCTCACCTTCCCAGAAGATCTCTGGAAAGCAAAATTCTTTGTTCCTTTTCATTTCACCCCATATTACGCCACAAATACTAATGATGGCTGAATATTTTATGCCTCTATTCTTCAAGCTAACATCTGTGATGGTACAAGGAGATGAAGGCTTATTATTTCTTATCACTGCATGCAGAGAACAGAGTTCAGTCATCCCAGTGGGCATAGTCAGTAGAGTTCTCTTGAAACATCAAACTACTTTGCTTATCAACTTACAGTTTTACAGTCACAAAAACATTCTGAAGGAAATCTGTAGTAAATATTAGTAGTATTCATGCATATATAATTACTTAAGTGACTACTTTGTGGTCCTGCCTAAATCTTCTAACAATCTCTTTAAAGACATTTTAAAAAGGTGTAGTGATGTGGTATTACTTAAAAAAAAATCCACAAAGTGTAATTGTGGGATCCTTTCTTTGTCATCTGAAGCCTTTTTATGTGAGGCTTTTTCTTTTAGCAACTGACCATAAAAGTGCAAATGAGGATAGTCATGGCAAGATGAGTTTTAAGATTTTCATAATTAACATTAAATAAATATTGTAGACTTATTCTGTAGGAGAATATACTCATGCAAGGTGATGTTGCTTCTCAAGAACAAAACTGTTTATCTTAACCTCTTGATTGATTCAGATGAACTTTGATGCTTTCAACTCAAAACTGTTTTTTCCTTGTTAGACAGGAGTTTTTATCACCTTTTGTGCTCTTATAAAGTAATGCAAATGGAACTTGCAGGCTTCTTTCTGCCCTTTCCTTTCTTATTCCCTGGGACATTAATGGCAGTTCAATGAGTGAATGGTCTTGTTGCAATGTTCTGAACATGCCCAAGGAGAAAAATGTGTCTAGGTTAGCGAGCTTGAAAGATCACACCTTGTGAAGTGGTGTGCGCTGCTTGGTAAGGCAGTGTTTTAATGTAGTTATGGAAGAGCAGAAGTGTTGTAGTTAGAAGTTAAAATAAATGTGTACGATGTCTGTTTTGAATATTTAGGTAATGTCAAGCCTGGCTTGAAAACTTGAAAAAGCTCAAGCTCTTAAAGGCATTTTCTTTCTAGGGTAACGTTGGCCAATCAAGAAAGTTAAGTCATCCTGTCCCATATCCTCCCTTGCTTTTCTGTCCTCTTTTCACACAGGCATCTTGCAATTTGTGTGCATAGACACTGCATGATTTAATGCTACAGTTTTTTCACAGTCTACAAGCAACATAATATCCAACATTAGTCCACAGAGCAGAATCTGCTAGTACATATTTCAGTTTCTTATTGGCTACTTGCAGTTTTCTTTGCTTTTTTTCTGGCCTCCTTCTGGCCATCAAGAAGAATCAAGCACAATATAGAGGATTCACAATAATCCCCTTCATCTCCGCAACCATCTTAACCATCTGCTACACTTAGCATACACTGCTGTGTGACAAGGTGAAAGAGAGGATCTTCTAATTAGAAATCCTCCCATTGTGAGATTCAGCCTTGCAGAGGAAATTCTGCTGATGCTCAAACCTTTCAAGGATTTACCTCAAAATTATATAAACTGTGATTGTGTTGAGTGCATTACTTGATTGAACAATTGGGAGCATTTGTAAATATGTAGATAATGCATAAAAATTTTGTAAATGATGTGTACAGGAGTGTAGACTAGAGTATACAATCTCTGATCATGTTTTGCCACACAGTTTGTCTATTGTGAGCTCACTCTGATCATGTTTTGCCACACAGTTTGATTGTCTATTGTGAGCTCGATCCTATATTCCTTAAATAGACAAAGTTAATTGTTTCACAGTTCTGTCTGCTTAAGGAGTAGAGGAATAGGCTATCTAGGTGTGTAAAGTGTTTAGTGCTTTGCTGTCATATAGTTCTGAGAAGAGGCAGTGTTAAATTCAGTATGAGTTGAAAAATACCAGTCATTTTCAACAGCTTGGGTTTTGAATCACTTTGAGTAGCTTCTCCATCCTAAAGTTGCTGTAAAGCTTTTAAGCAATTCCTGAGTCCACTAGTCACTCTTTGAGAAGAATGAAAGCCATAACTAAACTTTACTTTTGTGGCCTAAATCTACATATCATTGTCTGTGTTCAATGCCCTGTATTGATTGAGTTCATGCTGCATCTTAAATTATATTTTAAGTACCAAAGACTTCCGAAGGATTCTGCAGTGTCTCTTTCATGTGCTGCTTTTGCCTGTATGGAGGTTTTGTTGTCATGCAATAATGGAGTTACAGTACTTTTAATTTGTACTATTTTGTAAATATGTTAAATATAATAAACTGGTTAAATTTTTTGTTTATTTGTGTGTGTCAATGCATAGTTGGCCAGTATGAAGGTTATGCTTCACTTGTCTCACCACCTTCTCATTGTGAGAAGTTGCTAATGTTCTGTTTGGTTTCCCAGATTAGTATAATCCTTCTTCAGCTGTAAACCTGAGCTGCCAGTGTAAATGGGATAGTATAGCTTTCCTTGAGAGCTTTTTATTCTTGTGCCACATTGAAGAAGGTGATGGAGTTTTTAATCTATATCTTTTATTACAATTAAAAAAATTTTTGTAGCTGTAGAGAATATTGTGGAATCGATCATATACTATTGATTTTTTTGTCAAAGATGATGCATGTAGCTTTTTGATTGAAAAGTTGTTCTTAAAAGGTTTCCTTTTATGTGTGATGTTTCATAGCAATGTCTTTCCTCTTCCACCTTCTTTTTTTCTCCCTCTGTCATATGTGACTTACATACAAATTCAGGCTGAATTAAGCTCAAGTCTGAAAATATAGTCTGTGTCTAATTTCATGGGCTACTTCATAACTTTTTCGTGATGTAATCCATTCATGCATTTTTTACAATATAGCATCCATTATTAATATGTTTATAAAAATATTTCTGGACAGGTGAATTAATTCAGCAAGGTCAGTGATGATTCAATTGCAATTTTGCTTTTTTGTATCCCTTCTGTTTTTCAGTAACAGAGATTTTCTTGTGGAACTGCCCTTCTAACAGATAATTATTAAACTTAATGAGGCATTTACACAGCTCTGCCAATGTAAGGCATAATTTTCCTGTCACCCATGAACATATCACATAACTAAGAGTCATTCCTAATGTGGGATGCAAAGATGTGTCTCAATTAAATTCTCTTGTTAACAATATCACACTTGGTCAAAGACATTCTCCTTCCTCTTACATGCGAGAAGAGATGTGTGTCCTCTGATGGATGAGAAATTAAGAAAACACTGTATTTAGGGCATAAGAACCATTTGTGACTGTGTTATGAATAATTTTTTCAGTTGTAAGGATTGGAAGCTTGTTTGGAAATCTCAGCTTGAAAAAATTAATCTTGAAAAATGAAAATTATGCCAACCAGGATTCCTTTCCCCTTTGCCTCAGAGGCAAACTTGAGATGCTCTGTGAAGAAGAAAAGGACAATTCTCAAGGTTTTCACAGTTTATAAAGGTGAGACTGAAGTGCTGTCTAGAAACAAGTGGTGCTTGGTTGTTAAAATGGCCAGCCTCAGATGCAGGTTTTGTTCTGTTAAGTCTGATGTTTGGTGCAAAAATATTTGTTTCTATTAACTGTTTCTGTTGACTCTTGTCTGTTTGCTAGAAACTGGGCCATTGAGAGCCTTACATTACTATTTTATCAAGTTGTTCTGTTCAGAGAACACTGCTTATTTCATTTGAGTGGCAGAGGAAGCACTCCTTCCTCTCCATTTTATTGCTGAGCATGACATTACATAACATGGAATATTTCTTTGGTTAGTTTGGGTCATCTACTTCGTTGTGTCCCCTCCCAGCTTCTGTTCAGCGTGGGGCATGGCACAGAGTAAGAAACAGAGAAAGCCTTGATGTTGTGCAACACTGTTCAACAACAGGTAAACCCTTAGTATGTTGTCAGGACTCATTTTGTCACAGATGGAAAACACAGGACTGCAAGAGCTGGAATGATGAAAGTCAGCACCATCTCAGGCAGACCCAGTACTGCATAAAGGGAAAATGACAGGCAGAGATGGTGTGTGTATGTGTAATGCATAATGCTGTAGCAAGCCACTACACAAGAAAGGAAAAGGACTTGGCCCTTAGTTGAGATGTGCTGTGGAATTTTGGCTCTTTCCTCCATGCCTGCTATATGGGGAAAGGAGTAGTTTTGAGGAATTTAACTTAATAAAGCTGTGAGATGAGATGTTAATGATAGCCACTTTTTCATAAAATGCTGAAATATATGGTGCATGTATAATTAGCTAATAGAAAATATGGAAAGGATTAAGCATCTGAAATTGACTGTAGAAGGGTGATTCATTGCATTTTCTTAGCAACTTCCTTTTGAAGAACAAAGAGCCGTTTGTTTTTATAGCAAATGAGATTTGGGTTTCTAATTTAGTTTTATAATTCCTGGTCTGCTGTAGTGTATTCTGCCCATTCATTATAAGGATCTCTGCTGCCTACATGACTGTGAAGTTAGATTTTATTTAATAAGCCTCCTGAAATGTTTGAGCTATTGGTGACTTTTTCTGGGTTACAGTTTTCTACCTGCTAATGTGCTGTTCAGAAAATACGTGAGTTCATTTTAAAATGTTGCAATCTGACCTTAAGTAAACTCATAGTTATAACAAATGGCAAGTTCGGAGGTGGCTGTTTGCCAAGGGGCATGAGGCTGGTTTGCTTCTTTCAGAACTGCTTTTTTTATATTAATAGCATAATATGTGGCTTTAGGAAGAACAGAAATAGAGAAGAACAGAAAACAAGAAGTAAAAAGTTTATGCCACACCATATGTGTTAGAAACAACCTGGTGTGTGATAACTTTGCTAAACGATTGCCCAAAATATTCAATGTCTGTTGATAGCATTGGATTGGAAACAGAAATTCTCTAATGTTTCTATGTAGGAAAATGTTTGCTAATGTGGTCTTAACCAAGGAGCCTTGCACTTGATCCCAGTCTTACCATATAACTCTCCAAATCTGTCTTCAATTAATTGTCTTTTTTCTCCAAGCGATTAAAAAGTTTCCTCAAGGAGATGTAGTATTGTCTCTAGGATTATAATTCTTACTCATAAGTAAGGCTAATGGAAATATGTGTAATTGAAGAAACCTTTTCTCTGGTAGTTTACAGTCAATGTCACTGAAGCTTGTAGCTATTAATGTGGAATGTGGTGGGAGATCACCACCCTA